CCACCTCATTCTCTGCCGTCCCCTTCTTCTTTTGCCCTCCATCGTTCCCAGCATGAGGCTCTTCTCCAGGAAGTCCTTTCCTTCTCATTAGGTGGCCAAAGTATTTGAGTTTCACCTTCAGGATCTGTCCTTTTAAAGAGCAATCGGGGTTGATCTCCTCTAGGACTGACCGGTTGGATCGCCTTGAAGTCCAAGGGGCTCACAGGAGTCTTCTCCAGCACCAGAGTTCAAAGGCCTCCATCCTTTGGCGCTCAGCCTTCCTTATGGTCCAACTTTCACAGCCATCCATTGCAACTGGGAAAAACCATAGCCTTGAGTGTACACACTTTTGTTGGCAGGGTGATGTCTCTGCCTTTTAGTAGCTAAGCTTGTGGAGCTTAGCTACTATTCATTTGAACTGCCTGAATCTCCTGATTTCCCTGGCGCTTTGCAGTCCAAGGGTAAACGGTCTAGTTAAAACACTGATCAGGTGGGGAAAGATTTGAGCAGAGAGAACCTCGGTCCAAAGAGCCCTGGGTGGTTGGCCTCTAGGGAAGGCAGCTTCTCTTGGTCTCCTGGTTAAGGCGGAAACTGACGTGACCACGGGGGAATTTTCTTCGCAAACAGGACAACCGAAACTTGAAGGAGCAGAACGATGAGCTGAACGGGCAGATCATCAACCTCAGTATTCAAGGTGCCAAGAATCTCTTCTCCGCTTCCTTCTCTGAATCTCTGGCTGCGGAAATCAGCTCGGTCTCTAGAGACGAGGTAAATGTGGCGACCTTACAAGGACTTTACCCTACGAGTAATGAAGGGGGAGCTGAGTGGTGGAGGAAATTTAGAGAATCCACACTTTGACATTAGAAAGGGCTACTTTGGCTTCTGGCAGGTTTCTCTCTATCTTGTTGATAAAACTAAGTATTTACTAGATGACAATTGATCCATTTTTCTTTAACATCCAGCCGGCTTCCTCGTAACACTAATTTTGGAAAGTTAGGTGAGCCTACTACTCTGTTTCCCCGAAAATAAGACAGGGTCTTATTTTCTTTTGACCTTGGCCTTATTTTTGGGGAAGTCTTATTATTTTTGAGGTGCAGGAGGCAACGAGAGTGGTCATCTCATGGCTGCTGCTGTGTTGCAGTATTTTCAGGGAGGGCTTATTTTGGGGGGAGGGCTTATTTTTGAGGTGCAGGAGGCTGCGAGCGTGGTCACCCCATGGTTGCTGCTGTGTTGAAATATTTTTGCGGAGGGCTTATTTTTTTTTGGGGGGGAGGGCTTATTTTAGTACATGTGCTCAAAAGCCTGATTGGGCTTATTATCCAGGGAGGTCTTATTTTCGGGGAAATAGAGTACGAAGGGATATATATTCCATAAATTGTGTAAATCCTCCAGAGCATTTCATTTTGTTTATAGTCCTGAGAGATTCTGCACAGAGCTCTTCCTAACCCCATGTGTATTTTTAAGTGCCCTGCTAGGGAAGGCTCGCCAGAGCTTTAAACTTTAAAACTTAGGGACTTCAACTGCCAGAATTCCTCAGCCAGCCAAGAGCTCCATTCTTGGAGTTGAAGTCTAAAGGTTGCCAAGTTTGGAGAGTGCTGGGCTCAGAGCTGAAAAGCTCCAGTTATCTGATAACATTTATCGGTACTTCTTCCCGTGGTTCATCAGAACCACTTCGGTTCTGAAAGGCTGCTTAGAATCCATAGCAAGGCCAAGCAAATGAGAGATAGTAGAAGTTGATTTCCCATCTAGATGGGATTGATTTTTAGGGGTGCTGCTATTACAGTCCTGGAAACAGACACAGCTGCTTTAATGAGCTAGGTCAGGGATGGGGAACGTTTTTGTAAAGGCGTGGCAAAATTGTGTACGCCGGTGCGAGTCCACACCCACAATGCAATGCACCCCACCCATCTGCACCTGTGTGCATGACCCCCCCCCATGCTCGTGCACACTCTATACCCCCTGCATGGGGGGGGGGAGTTTTCACCCTCCCCAGGCTCCGGAAGCATTCCTGAAGCCTGGGGAGGGCAGGTCCTCCGGAAGGCCGTAAATCAGCTGGCCAGCACGCACATGTGCACTGGAGCTGACGGCTCGCGTGCCAGCGAATGTGACTCCACGTGCCACCTGTGCTAATCTCACTGCATATTTTAGCTATCCAGGTACATATTCATCCTTCCTGATCTTTCAGCTTTTTATTGGCTTTTCAGATTTTCATTAACCTTTTTCTAAAATTGAAAGACGGTGGCTGCTGTAAAGGATGTTTTTTGTAAGGGATGTGGTGGCTCAGTGGCTAAGACGCCGAGCTTGTTGATCAGTTGGCAGTTTGGCGGTTCGAATCCCTAGCGCCGCGTAAGAAGCTGGGACTTTACTTGTCCCAGCTTCTGCCAACCTAGCAGTTCAAAAGCACGTAAAAAATGCAAGTAGAAAAATAGGAAGCACCTTTGGTGGGAAGGNTATTCTATTCTATATTGTACAAGGGAAAACTCTGAACTAAAAATACAAACACTTAAGAAAGCCATTGCAAAAACGGTCCCTTAGAAGGCCGTATCAAAACAAAACAAGCTGGGTGAATTTAAAACTAGAAGACCTCCAAGGTCCCTTCCGACTCTCTTCTTCCATTCTGTTCTACTCTATTCTACTCTATTCTGTTCAACCCTGAGAGGTTTCCATGCAATTTTTTTTTTTTTAAACAATCCACTTCATTGTAACGTTTCCCTAAACCGACATAACCACGGAGGACGTTTTGCTTTCAAATTGTGGGATTTGAACCTCGGGAGTTGAATTCTCCGACTTGCCCTCCTTCTGAACCTTCCAGAGGGGAAGAAGGAGTCCGCGCCAATTTCTCTTCCCTTAGGAAGGCCTTCAAAGGAAGACGGGGAAGGTAATTCTGCAGGTGACACAAGGGCCAGTCCCATTATTTTAATTGGCCGGCTGGAACGGCAGAAAGAAGCAGAACAGAATTTCCCGTGGTTCTAAGTTATTGTGTTGGAAAACCGGCTCCTATTCAACGTTGGCCAGAAGACCAGGTGATGGGAGTGGAGATACCCGCCTTCCAGTTTCCACTGGACCTCTCGCGATGGGGAGTGGACCGATCCTCAGAATGGGGTGTTCCTGAGGATCACCAGGGGAAAGCATGGACCATTCAGACGTCCAGCAGGGCCAATCGGGCGGCCTGATTCATACCCTCCATGGTTTCGCTCTAGCAGGTCGGCACATCAGTTTGAAAAGGGGCATTCTGAGGCAACGAAGCCCATGCAGGTGGTATGTGGGCAGCAGATTCCCTGGCACAGAGAGGAGGGTGTCTCTAGGGCAGGACTAGTATGAAGCCCAGGATGGGTTCTGGGCACTTGCTGCTTCGCCCAACACACCTGTCATCCAAAGCAGGGGCGTGCAACCTGAGCAACTTAAAGGCTTAAGAGCTCCCAGAATTCTCCAGCCAGCACAGCTTGGAGACTTATGGAGTTTAACGCCCAGAATTCTCTGGGAGCTGGGAAAATTGACAAGGTTGGACAGTCTGATTGGAAAGCTTTGGGATTCAACTCAACAGATCTTGGGCTTTCCAAGGAGGGCCATCTGCCCCAAACTTTATCTATCTATCTATCTATCTATCTATCTATCTATCTATCTATCTATCTATCTATCTATCTATCTATCTATCTATC